CGAAGACGTACATGTCAAGTCGTGCATCCACCAAACCCACAATGACTGCGTTTGTGGACCCGGGCTCCAGACGGTCATCAGTCCAGCGTTCTGATAACTGTCCTCTTCGGCACTGAGGGGCTATTCCTGGCTAATCTGCGTGCTAAAGGCCTGTACAGGCCCATCTAAATACAAAACAATAGGCCTAAGAAGTGAAAGTAAAAAGCAATATAAATACTTGCAAACACCTCTAGGAACCAGATTTTATTGCATATTTCTGGAGATATACCAACTGCACAAAGTACAATATTGTACTAGGGATTTTGTACGAAACTCCCTCATGAGACCCACAGTCCGGCCACAGCGACCGGATGGCCACTTAGGGGTGTTGGGACACCATCAGTGAAATCAGAATCCTGCAGAAAGAGAAACAGCAAGTCCTCAGATCCACGGATCTGCCTAACAAAACCAGAGGCACTCAATTTCAACTGGCTGAGGGAACAAATTTGATCTTAATTACGCAGAAGCTCTTACAAGTTGCGAGGAAGTCCCAGCTTAGGAAGGATCAGCCTCCAAACTTCTTGATAAATTAGTTTCTCAAGACTAACCTTTCGGATGCCAAAGAAATATATCACAGGCGTGACAGTCAGGAAAATGTCAGTGTTCGAGAGGGTAAGGCAAATGGCTAAGTAATCACTAAAATGACATCTACGCGTGCTTAACAATATGCTAAATCTGAAAAATAAAGATTACATTTAAATATAAAATTTAAAGGAGCACTGTCACACACCGGCAAAACTGTCTCCAGCTGTCATGCTGAACTGTTGCCTTAATTAATTCTCGCATTTTCCTTCCCAGCATTATGTCCCTTTTAGAGTTTTGCTGCAGAAATATAAACTGACTCTGGAAAAAAGTCCCACGTCTCCACTTCTGGCCGGTGCACCGGAGGCAGGGCTACCGCTCCGTCTTGGGACATCACGACTACGGTCCCTTCCATGAGGAAGGGCGTGATGCAACACGCAAGGCAGTCCTGGCTTCCTGGCTGACTGGGGTGGAAGAGGGGGCCACGCAAGAGGCGAGTTTCCCTGCAAAGCCCTCCCCAACGGGACCAGCACAGCAGGAAGACACAAGCAAACCTGGTGAGCGTGGAGAGTGCTGCTAAAAAACGGGAAGTTTAACAATGGCTCCCGAGGAAGAAAGAAGCTGATTCTACCCCAAACCTCTGGTTGGTAAACCAGGTCATCAAAACAGGTTACGCAAACCAAGGAAACAGCGATCTCTGAACTACCACGTGTATGTCACCTGCATTTTACAAAATTGGTATTTTGATTACATCGGCTTCCCTGATGAATTGAACCAAGAGAAAGGAACTGGAAATGTCAGCTGAGTACTTCACCCTGGGTTTAGCAACCACCCCCTCATGAAAATTAAGATCTTCCAAAGTTTTTTACATGGTAAATGAGATCAATCTGCTGCTTCCTGGTTTTGCCGTTGTCATTCATGTGAAAAGGTGTCACTATAATAACACTGACTTCTTCCTGCCACTTACCCTTACTGACATCATACTATCTTTTGGATTTTTCAGGAAAAGGATGAGATGAAAGGCAGTTTCCTTGGCACCGGGAACTTTTCACTTTCCACATTAATACTACATTGTAATCAAATAGTTTCATGAGGTTTTGATCCTCAGCCTGGAAGAACAAAAGCAGCCTTTAAAACATCTCTCCAGAGACACAGCCCAGAAGGTGCTCTGTCTTCCTTCTGTCACATGTCTTCTGTGTTCACCTCCCTCCACAAGGTGTCAATCGAGACGAATGACTTCCCCACTTACAGCGTGAATGAGGAGAATTAAGTTGTGTATGCTGCCGGTAAACTCAGAGCTCCCCTTTGGGGAAATGGTGAGGCAGGCCAGCTGTGGATGGCTTTCTGCCCAATCTTGGGTTCAGGCCACCACCACCTGACCCTTGCCCTCTGAGGGGTTGCTTCCTGGATACCCCTGTTTGCTCAGGTGCACAGTGGGAAGAAGAAAATGGGTGGTCCACTCTGCCACCACCTACCCACTTCAGAAAAGCTGAATTCCTGAGCTGCCCCACAGGAAACACAGAGCACTGGCCTCGGAATTAGAAGCTGTCACTCTGCCTGTGTGGCACTGAATTAGTTACTTAGCGCTTCTGGGCCTTCATGTCCCCATCCATGAATGAAGCAGGTAGCTTAGACCCTGTGGGCATGATCGTGAAAGTCCTTACACAAGGAAAAAAAATGCTTTTGTAAATGTATCAAATACCGAAACATATGAATCATCAAGTTGTATACCTCCAACTAATGTCGTTTTATATGTCAATTATACCTCAACTTAAAAAAAAGATGCTAATAGATTAACTAGCATTATTTAAGGGTCTTGGAAGTTTTACTGACATTTAAAAGAGGGTCCCCATATATTTAAAAGAATTAGGAAATCAGTTGTCTAGAATTTACATAATCTCTAAAGCTCCTTTACAAGCATGAACACATAGTCTCTCTTTTCTGAGACGGCAACCTAGCCATCATTCATGTCAGTGAGGAGACAAAGGGTTAAACCCAACCCAATTCTAGACATTATCACTTATTTTTTAGATTAATGTTTAAGGTCTTAAAACAGAAGTAATTTTAGTCAATTATTACCAAACATTTCTATTCCATCCAAGGCTACCAAAACATTTATTTCTCTGTGGTACGAAATCTTTTAAAAAGATCAGACTGAGTGTACAGTTTACGGCTAGCCATAGTTACTGAGACTTAAACTCCATTTTTACATGTATTATGGCAGAAGTAATACTAAATGCCTTTTAAAAACCATTTAATACCTTCTAGGACTTTTACGGTACATCAAATTACAAGCTTACTCTTTGTGAAAGAAGATTGTCTATGTTCTAACACAGCTACATGTAAAATGAATAATTGATAAGTAAAGGGGCAAAGAGCTTTGAAAACCTAGAGGTATCACATGGAAAGTAAAAGATAATGCAGACAGACAGCCAGTGCCCTGAAACGGAGCAACCAATCAACAGCAAACAATCAGCAAAGCTGGGCAAATGCCTGTGTGGGTTTCTCTTTAATTTCTTCTGGGAAGGAGATCTGAAAGGTACTCTCCAACTTGGACAAAAGGCAAGTATCTCGGAACAAACACAACCAGCTACTGGAAGGGAGAAGTCGGGGGATTCTGAATGTGCTGCAAAGCCACGGGCTTCTAGGTCACTGCCAGAAATGTGCCCAGGGCTCACGGCGACGGAAGAAGGCACAAGTCCCACTGGGAGAGCCGCTGGGTAACCAGTGAGGACCCTCCATGCCGGCCCAGCCACGAGCATCTTTTTGCAGTCAGCCTCAGTGCCACAGCCTGACACCTCCTAAGAACTGCTCTGTGGGAAGCTCAGCCCCAGGGCCCGGCGCTCACCGCCTTGACTCAGCAAACAAGGGCTAGCCTACTCACACACTTCACAGCGGACCCTGAACGCCCTTTCATTTTTGTGATCTTTCTATGGGACCTTAAACTGACCTGTGAAAAATCACCTTCGAAGGTGCCTACAAACAATGAATCACTTTCCTTCTTCCCTGTCATCGAAAGCTTACAGAATCAAAAGCAGGATGAGAAGTTTCTAAAATACGTTGGCATGCCTTTCCTGTGCTCCACTCAGCTAGAAGCTGAGGCTGAGACAGTTTTATCCTCTTTTCCCCAGGATCTTATACATCCTCCCCCTATGAGGGGGGAGTTAAATGGACTAACTTGACTATGAAATCCTCTTAATCACTAAACTGTTTTATTCCCCGAAAATTGCGAGTACTTTGTAGTTCTCCCCGATCTCATTCCTCAATTCCTTCTTCATCTCGAGGCACAGTTTTTTTTTCTTTTAAAAATGAAGCAGTTGCCCTGAAGCAGCTTAAAAAGAAATTCATGGGGCTTATTTAACATGATTAAGGTCCAGGAATATTAGTAAAAATATATAAATTAGGCTAAATGTAGACTTCGATTTCTTCATGAGAAAAACCTGGAGGAAAAACCTACCAGGGAAGGGCCAATGGAACAGGGGGCTCAGGTCACGCCTGAACCCCGTTTTCTGAAGGCACATCTTTCCCAATGGGTTGGCCTCCATCTACTTTACTCCCAACAGAGCCAGTCTGTTCATTTCCAAACATAAACACAGGTCCCAACAGTATGAAAACTCAGCAACCAGCGGATGCAGCTCCGTGTGCCTCGTTACAGCATCAGCTGCATATCCACCAGGGAATTAAAGGAAACATGAGGCCGGGCTTGTCCCTCCCAGACGGTCTCTGAAGTGAGTCATCCCGGGACTCAGGTGGGCAACAGATTAGAACGAGCATCCTTCCCTAATTTAAAGAGGAAAACCAGAGATGGCCAGGCCAAAGGTCTTCGGTTCCCTGCCTCCGGCTTGTGGTCTGTCCACCGCCCACTCTGGGGCTGCAGCGTCCCAGGGACCAGGAGGAGGCTAGGGCATCATCCACCTCTGGGTGTCCAGCTCACAGTTTGTGTCCTGCTGCCCAGAGATGAACCAGAGCCAGATTTCCTCGGTAGGTGGAGGGGCTTCCCATCAGAGTGAAGGCCTGGCCAGTACCCGCTGAGCTGGCTCTGCTTCCACGCAGCTGAGAAGCAAACAGCAGCGTCCCAGGGCCCCCTTCCCAGCTGCCTCCCCCAGGGGCTGCGACACCCTGCAGAGAAGCCTGCCACCAGTGCTCCGGCTTCTGCAGCCTGGCAGGCTGCCAGGGATACACGCCAGGCCCACGCTGGGCCCACCCCGGGAGAGCCCTGGGCCCCAGGCCGGGCTGCGTGACTACTACCATGCCTCTACTTGTTGGCTTTCTTTGGATTTTAAAGGAGGGCGGCGGGAAATTGGGGTAGTTCAATAGGATTTTTTTTTCTTTGCAGCTGTTGACTGGAAAGGAAGATGATGCTTTCTGACCAGCTGTTGTACTTCAGCACTCCCCATGGCTATGCCCCTAACCAGAATGGAACACAAAGTGTGCCCTACCGTAAGGGTACTTGGTATCCAGGATATTCTCCGCTGTCCTCCTCCAAGGCAAGAGGTCATCGCTGCACCCGTTTGGCATTCCATTGTACCCGATGCCCACAATCTTGTTTTCTGCATTCACGATGCAGGCTCCGACCTACAGGGAAACATGCCCAAAGGCTTGGTGACTTCGAGTGGCTGGCTGCCACTGGAGAGGCAGGAAATGAGACCAGAGGCCTACGGCACATGACAACTTCCTCTGTCACAGGAAAATGTAAGCATGTAGGAATGCACAAAAGCCAGCAGATTCACTCTAATTTTGTCGGTTGGCGGGTGTCCAGGGGCCTCCCCCTTTTGTAGTTTGCTCATCTGTGGGCATCTCTGGGTCTGTGAGTGTCCAAGCAGCCTCCTATAAAACTCACTTACCTGGGAATTTGGATCTTTGCTCCTCTGTGCCGATAAGAAGGCCACAGCCATGAAATACTCGGGCCATTCCAAATAGTCATCACGTTTTTTGCAGAGAACTTCGCTCATGCTGTGTCTAAAAGAAAAACACAACAAAACAGCAGTTGAGAAACACATTTCGGTCCAGTTCAACCCAAGCACATTTCAATTCTGGATCTCCCCACTCAGACAATTTCAGTTTATGTTTATCAATCAGAAATCCCAGAACATGAACCCCAGACAGTCTCTGGTCTTAAGGAAAAAAAAAATCAGGAAATTAAGCTACTATTCACAGGTTTGGATTTCGCCTGATAGCGGCGCATTCCCTGATATTCCATCTATCTACTGCTGCCTCATACGATTTTTCGCAAGTTCCTACACTTGTCTGCCCTACAGATCATTCTCATCCTTACCTCTCTCCTTTATCAAATGGAGCCAGCACAAGGAGGGGGGAGACTTATTGATCATTAATAAATTTTAGACACTGTTAAAGATTATACACATCATCTCACTGAAGCCTCATCCTGAGCTAAGGTAACTAACATCCTCTTTCTTACAGAGACTCCGAGAATTTAGATAACTCGCCCCAAATCACACCAGATGATGATCCATGCCATTTGATTTCCATTCGGAGCTGTCCCAACTGTGATATTCACTTGTCCCTTCCCCTTCCCTCAGTTTCCCAGATGGGACAGAAGTTATCAACTCTGATACTGAATCAAGCGAGGAGGAAACAGGAAGAGTGACGCGTGTTACGAACAGGGCGCGATTTGAGTAACCCTGGGCTGTACTCACTGGCAGGCACAAGCTGTCTCTGCGAGACGGAGTCCCTGACAGGGCCAAACACTTTCTGACGGGGAACAGGGGTCCTTTCAGGGGGGATGAAACAAGGGCAAGGAAGGAGGGCAACACCAGCACCGGGTAGCTCCAGATAAGTTTTGAGAGCCTAGACAGCTAGGCTGAGGGAAGGCGAGGATTTCCCAACACGGGCTTTAGGATCTAGCTGTGAAGTGCAGCGAGCCGGTGCCTACGACTGGGAGGCAGCAAACAGGTCGGCGCTATGATCACCCACTAATTTATGCTGCCCCAATTCTGAGAAGCCTGAAAACCCTCTTAACACGAAGCGATGCTGGATGAACTGGCTTACCACCCGGTTTAATGACTGGCTTCCATAATCGCTTCTGGGGGGCAGGATAAGTGCTGGCTAAACAGGAGGTGAGGGGAGGAAGGAGAGGGGAGGGAGAGCAACTTATTGCTCGGTTTGGTTTAAGGCTCACTGGTGCCCCGAAGCCCAGCTGCAGAAGCACAGGAGGAACAAGTCCAGGGAGATACCTCTAGGCACCAGCCGAGACGCAACCCACGCTCCCCCCGCTCCCCCCGATGCCGCTCGCCGGACGGAACCGCGCACCCCTGCGGCACACGCGGCCGCTGGAAGGGGCTGCTCTTTTCAGACCCCCC